TCTATTGGAATAACAGATAACTCTGTTTTGTTTGTTTTTTGTTTTACAAAAATCTCAAACTGAAGATAGGAAAGGGGATGATTTAATCCAACCAGAGGTATTCAGTGTCATTCAGTGAAAAGAATAATTGAAAGTATGTAGCCCAACAAATACTGGTTAAATTGAATTGAACTTAGAAATAATGAGCAGCTGAAATGTAAATGTTCATTATGCAGTAAAGTAGAAGTAGGCTAGCAATGATGAGCAAAACTATGAACACCAGAAACTGTACTATGATCAAGAGTCCTGTAATAACAACACTTACTAGACATCAAATGTTGTTGAGTTTGAGTTTTGGAGAACTCCAACATTTAACTGAGGAAAATGAGCAGGGGAGGAGAGAGAGCCTCAGAGAGGTAGGAAGATAGCCAGGTAATGAGGAGGGAGGAGGACAAAATAAGACAATACTGACAGTTGACATGAGTGTAGGAACCTACTAAAGCTGAAGTGGGATGAAGGTGGAAAGGGGCATATGGACTTTCTTCCCTCCTGGTTACTGATAACCTTAGCACTGGTTGTGTGGGGTGGTATAACACAGAAACTAGTTAGACCCAAGTAGGTTGAAGGATCGGTAGGAGCAAAGTAAAGGGGATAGTGAGTATAAACCACTACTCAAAAATTCCAAAGATAAAAAAAACATAAAATTATTTGGAAAGAAAATGTTGAAAAAGAAGTGAGAATGTGACGTAAAATTTGCTGGTGTGCCAAAATATCTTCAGGGTGAGAGAGATTAAGAGAGAAGACACATGGGCTTTGACACAAGTCTTGCAAACCTTTAAAATGAAGATGCTCTGAATTTCTGACTTCCAAGTGTTATATTGTCAAAAGACAAAAGACATTATGCCTTTTTAAAAGGATTTTAGAGGATTATCCAAATACTTGGTCATATGGAATTCTTACCTGGAAAAAGGTAAATTATGTGTTGCAAACAAGTAATCAGATTATTTCCCCAAGTCTAGGGGACAGAAAAAGTCCAATATGCTCACAGTTTCTAGGGGAGTCAAAACAAGCCACCTTCTCATGAAACTTTTGGTATGTTTCCTTTCTTAAAAAGAGAAAAGGGTGAAATTTGATCTTCAGAAGTTCTGGGAAACTTTTAGAGTTCGGGTTGGTGAGGAAAGTGGAGACCGGATGAAAATGGATAATTGAGCTTTGCTACTAAAGGTCAAGCATTACAAAAGACAGAGGGAAATTATGAGTGGAAGAGAGGAATTAATGTGCTTACTGTTCTGTGTCTATGCTTAGAATACATTCCATGAGTTTGATGTATCAAATGTACTTGAGAACATGCAGACCTTTGCATTGGTGAATATTTCAGTATTATAAAGGGCATATTACAGAAAAACTATTCTTACCAATAATAAACTTTTGTCTTTGAAACTTGAAACAACAAATACAAATAAAGCGTGAAAAACATGCCTTGAAGTGTGCTAACAGATCAAGATTGCATTTAGCAAACCACCTTTTCTCTGTTTAGGAACAATCTCAGGGATTCCAAAACACAGTATGTTAATTAAAGGATTTCAGGTAGCAATCATGGAATATTTTTCATGACAGATGAAGAACACAGATATTCTGAAGACTAAAATTGCATAAACAAAACAAAGAGACACAGTGTCCCTTTTGCAGCAGTGCAAAGTTAGAGTGAATGCAAATGAATGTGCTGGCAGTAAAATTACACTATTAACCATCTGAAGATTGGGCTCATTACCTAAGAAGGCAAAGCATCAATTTGTAGCATTATAACATTCTGTTTGTGCTGCTGAACACGTGTTTGGATGTTTTTACATATTCTCTACTCATTTGGGTGCATAGTAAGCACTTTCGCATCAGCCTCTTGATAAAAGCTTAATTTTGTATTGTTTCTGTTATATTGTTTTCTCTAATGGGAATGATATTCTGTCTTAAAAATAAACACTCCATTTGTTCTCCAAATAATTCCGAGTTCAGGTTCTTTTGTTCTCATTATCAAATGGCATATACACAATTACGGATCTATCTTAAGATTGAGGCACTCTTTGATTTGAAAAAAATGTATATTTGAATAACGAGAGGAAAATATTCATTTAGTCGCTCATTCTTTTATTCTTTAAATGCACATGTATTGAGCTAAGCACACTGGGAAATTCAAGGATGGATGTGACACTGTCTCTGCCTTCAGGATGTTTCTAAGGCAGAAGTGGTAGAGTATTATGAGTACCTTCAGAACAGGCAGAGCTATCAAATCTCAGAGGAAAGAGACAGCAGTGTATTACTGCCTTCTACAAACATTTTTGACCACCTATGATGTGACTAGCACTGCTGTAGGGGCTGGGTATATAGGAAGGAACAAGATAGTCAAGGTCCCTGAGCTTATGGACCCTGCATCTTGGGGGAGAGGTGAAAAATAAGGAAAAAACAAACACATAAATAATATAACTTCAGGTAGCCATAAGTGCCACGGAGAAACTAAAGTGGGGTAATAAGAAGGACAGTGATAGTATGTGAGTGTGACATTAAGGTCACAAAGGCCTCGGTGAGGAGACAGCAGCTGAGTAGAGATTTGATGATGTATAGGAACAAGGGTATGAAAATTTGAATAAAAGGCTTTCTAGGCAAAGAGACCAGTATGGAAAGCCCTTGAGGCAAAAATGAGCTTGGTATATTCTGGAACAAAAAGAAACCATATAACTAGAGTTGAGGAAAATGGGAGAGTGAGAGATGAGGCCATGAAGGTGGGAAGGGGCCAGAGCCTATTGACTTCTGTAGGCTGTGATAAAGATTTTATTCTAAGTGAGAAGGGAATCCATTGGAGATTTTATTTTATTTTTATTTTCTTTAAGATTATTTATTTATTTATTCATGAGAGATAGAGAGAGAGAGGCAGAGGGAGAAGCAGGCTCCCCGCTGAGAAGGGAGCCCGAATGCGGGCCTCAATTCCAGGACCCCGGGATCATGACCTGAACCGAAGGCAGATGCCCAACCATCTGAGCCACCCAGGCACCCTCCATTGGAGATTTTGAACAGAGTGTGCGTGATCTGATTTACATTTGAGAAGGACCATTCTGGATGCTGTGTGGAAATTCAAATGTAGAGTGGTAAGAAAGGTAACCAGGACAGAGATTAGGTATCTATGAATTATCCAAGCTAGAGAGAACCAATGAGAAATTGACTCCAGTAGTCTAACCTAGAGATGATAGATAGAACCTATTGTGGCAGTCCAGTTAATGGTGGTTGGTTTGGACTAGGGTGATAATTACCAAGGTGAGAGAAGTGGTTCCATTTAAGGGAAGTTTTATAAAGGAAGTGATATGGAACTATTTGAGCTGAACTTGACAGGCAGGCTTGTGACAAGGGGGTAGTCACTTATTGATTTATTGAGTGCCTACCACGGGCTGCACACTGAGCTCAGTGTTGGCGGTACAGCAGTGTAGAAGTCCTTGCAGAGAATGAGGAGCAAACTTGCTGGGGAAGTAATATTTTAAGATACAAAAGTAGTGAGGTGAACAATAGGCTTATAAGAATTACTTCTGGAATTAGTTCTAAGGCCACTTTATTCTTTTCCTTTTACTGTAGAAAACTGTATGATCAAACTCCTTTGTATGCGTAATTCTCCTTGAATTTGCAAAAGTGTTAAGCTTCTATTAGTAGACACCCAGTTCACTGTCAGTTGGCAAATTTCATCAGATCACTTCCTTAGAAACAGTGGTTAATATTTATCTTTCTCTTCTAAGGAGAAATTATAGCCTCATTAGAAAGGAAAAGAGCAGAGGAGAATACAAAATATATGTAAGTTCATACATTTAGGTGCAAGTCTAACTGTTCATCTGCTTCCAGTCTTGCCCCCTGAATCTTTTCCCAGCTGGTTGACCCTACTTCAACTTCCCCTCCTTCTCACCTGTTGTATACTGCCTCCAAAATTGACTGGCCTAAAGCAGTCCAGTCATGTCTGTTCCCCAGAGCCTACAGAACAAATTTCAAATTCCTTAGCCTGACATAGACTGACCCAACCTACTTTTTCTGCTTTATCTCTGACTATACTCTCCACTCTCTAATTGTTTAATCACACTGGATTTTTTTAAAAAATTATTTAAAAAACTGTGGTGAAATAACAAAACATAAAATTTACCACCTTAACCATTTTTAAGTGTACAATTTAGTGGCAATGATTAAGGACATTCACATTGTTGGGTAAATCCCATTGCGTTTTAAATCACACAGTATCACTATTCCCCTAATACTTTTGGCAATTTATATTTATATTTATATGATTTCTGCTGATCCCTGAAGTGCTTTCCTTTTCCTTATCAGTTAAAGTCCTACATTATCTTGAAGACCAGGGCTCAGATCCTACCTCTTGCTTTAGGCTCCTATGAAACCTTATCTGGAAATAGAAGGTCAACTCTGTTGCTAGGTAACACAGTGCTTACAGTTAAAAGGACATGTTGGTTGGCAAACTGCATCTAGACTGGGAGGATTTATACATTAACTATAAATACCTGATGGGGATGTGATACTTTGGTCTTCCTTGAGTGATGACTCTTGTAATTAGGCAGATTCCTTGCCCCTGAAGGCTAAGTCTGTGGAGTTGTACAAGAGATAACGCCTCTCACAGGGCATGAGGCTTTTAATTCAGGAACATTCCCACACCCACCCAATATTGATCTTGTCTTCTTATGCCTGAGCTGTCACCTGAGGGGCGTGGACTGATGTTTGTACCAATATAAGGACTGCACTGAAGAGAACCCCTGAAGGCGCCCTGCTGGTCAGTGGTGTGTCCTGTATGACATCTTTCTCATCCACCTAAAGCCAAGTTTGGCCCACAGTAGCCTTGTAAGTCTGAACATTTCACTGGACCTAAGAAGAACTGCTTTGGGGAGTTTAATCAATATGTAGAGATGGTGTCCTAAGTACTAACAGCCCTTTCACATCTGGTCTGAAGACTGCTGTATATAGGGCCAGGCTAAAAAAGCATTGCTTACCTTTGGAAGAAGCTGGATTGCCTGTAGAATTCTTTGTCTGTGCCCAGAATTAAGGATTCCAATTTCCAACAAATCCTGATCTTCCATAACATTGCTTCCCTGAAACAAACCCAGAAATGTTACAAGTTAAATTAGGTATTTTTACTAAGGGTAAATAATGATTTATTTAATGCAGAGAAAAATAACCAACGAGTGAGCTGATTTTTACAAACAAAAACAGAGTCATTCTTCTATGAGGGTGAGGGCAAGTAAGAGGTCACCTATGTGACTGAGTTGAAGGTGCTGGGAAAGCTTCCTTCCTCTCAGAAATGCTCTTATGGCTCACTATTTATGGTCGGGTTATCTGCATTGGGGATTCATTTCTGTGACCTAAAACTCTGTTTCCCTAAAAATGTGAATGCTTTTGAGAAGAGTTGCCCTTTAGGATCTTCAGTGATCTACCTATATGTTGACATGAATGAATCAGTTTTTTCTTCCCTTGAAAACAGATTGTAAGAAGAGGACTGATTAAAAAATTGAAATATACTAGGCTAGTTAAAATTGGGAATTTATACTTAATCTTAAAATACTGAATGCCAGACATCTGATCAAGATATGGGGATACAACAATGAATAATTTGCAGGTCCCTCCCCACAACTGTCTTTATTCTTTCTAGTCCAGGGATGGAAACAGATTTTCAAAGGCAGGTAGAATGCTGTGAATGTGCTATGATGGTGACACATGCTTGGGAACCCCAAGGGGATCTGGGGGGTGTTTTCAGCAGAGATGATGTCTGATCAGATATCTGAAACATGGTTAGGACTTAGCACTCAACAGAGGAAGGACACAAGAAAAATTATGTACAGTGTCCTGTGGGTGAGAAAGAACATAGCATATTTGGAAGCACTGGGTTCTTGGATGAGTTGGAGAGAGGAACAAAAGGTAAGGCTGGCAAGCTAAGCCGAAGACAGACTATATGCACATTGTATGCCAGGCTGAGGAATTCAGACTTCATCCTGACCATAATGGGGAGCCATGGATAGATGGTAAAAACAGGAGTTACATATGAGATTCTAAATTTACAAAGATCAATTTAGTTAAGTTTTAGATCAATTTAATGGCTGGGCCTCAGTTTCCTTACCTTAACACGACAAAGTTGAGCCACACGATCTCCAAGGACTAGTCTAGTCCTGAAATTCTTTGATTTCAATGATTTTTTAGGCCTCTGATTAATATTCTAATACAAAAATTTATAGATTGTTTATTTTGTCCCTAAATTTTAGTCTTTTGTAGCTTGTAAGCTAGTGTTTAAATTGAGGGGTCTATAGAGAAGTTCAGAATTCGGATCACTCCTTTTCTGGACAAATCAAACTGTCTTATTAATGTGTAACAAAAACACTATGAGTAGAAATTACAGAACACATATTTATGGAGAGCAATGGGTACTGACAGATATTTAAAGCAAAAGAGAATGAATTTGAAAGGGCAATCCTGGGAGCATGGAGACCATTAGGAGCTACCACAGTTGTTCTAGAGACAATGTGGGCTTAGACTGAGGTAGTGGTGGTCATGGGAGATAGAAAGATAGGGGTGGGTTTGAAACTATCAAGAAGTTTGACTCAGTGACTTAATGCATGTAATGATGGAGAAATGCAGAACGCACAATAGTTCCAGGCTTGGACAATGGTGGTGAATCATGATGTCTTTTCCTGAGGTAATAAAGGAGGATGGGCCTGTCTATATGGTACAAAGTGAGACAAATATCTTTCCCTGTACAGGGACAGAATAGATGAATATAAACAATTTAATATCAGACTACATTATAAATGGATAATTGATTGTTCTTAGAAAGATTAAAGCCATAAGAATGGTACCATAGCTAGAGATTTAAAATGGGCATTCACTGGGCAAAAACATTCCACCTACTCATGTTATCATTCCTATGCTTAAGCTACCCTGGCCTTCTCAGAGGAGGCAGAATGATCCAGGTATATAGCAGCATGATAATGAAAAGCCTAATGAAAAACAAATAAAGCCAGTCTTGGCAAAATGCCACAGGAAACATTGCTCTCAAGAAATTACTCTGTGCACACAATCGAGCATGGCTAAGAATATAAATGGCTTCATTTTGAGAAAGAATTATTATTTCCAGAAATGGACCAGTATGTCCTGAGTAGGATATATGGTACCATTCTGTATTTGATTTTTAGTCTTTAAAGTGTTTCCAAAAGGAGTTAAAAGGATCTTAAAAAACAAAAACAGAAAAAAAAAACCAGAAACAAAAAACTTTGTCCATCTATGTGTTAGACCATTACCAGGTTTTCCATGGGCTAAATTAGCAGCCCACAACATTAGCTCACACACATTCTTTGGTGTGTCTGTGTTTGTCTTCTGTCAGTGTGTCTTCTGCTTCAGTAATTATAGATACCTACTATCTATAGGTAATCCTGAAAATTTGATTTCAGTATTTGAATACTGAAATGATATGAAGGATTAAATCCTTAAAACCACTGTTCTTCCTCTAAACTAACAATATACCATCTTCTCTTACCTTCAGTAGGAGGAACCTTTTTGAAAAATTGTAGGGAAGTTAGACATCTTCTCTTTGGGTCAAATTTCCTAGCATATGGAATAATTACCAAACACTTTTGAAAAATGAGTGAAAATTTGGGAAGCACAGTGCAAATGGTGAGAATGTGCCCAAGGGGAAATGGTACTAATTGTGGAAATGTAAAGAAAAGGATTCACTGTCCCCAATGAGGCATGCTGTTAGAAATTTTCTATTTTCTCTCTTATTGCAATATATAGAGATACCAAAAATATTCTGGTGCATCATCTAGCCAGTCTTTTTTTGAAACACCACCAGGCTTGGAGTCTAAAGATCTGGGTCCGAATCTTGTCTGGGTAAACTTAGCTAAGTCATATATTATTTCTAGGTCTCATGGTCCTCACTCGTAAAATGCAGTTCAATGAATACTCAAGTTCTAAAATGCTATGATTTCAGTCATTTCTAACTTTTGATTAGTATCCTTATATGTAAATATAGATTGTATAATTTGAAGTTACATTTACATTGCAACTACATTTTAGTATTTCAGAACTTGCAACCTAAAGTTAGCTTTAAGAAGTATGGTTGACCTTTGAACAACATGGGTTTGAACTGTGTGGGTCCACTTAAACCTTGATTTTTTTTTCAATAAATACAGTATAGTACTGCAAATCTATTTTCTTTTCCTTATGACTTTCTTAATAACATTTTCTTTTCTCTATTTTACTTTATTGTAAGAATACAGTATATCATATTCATAACATACAAAATATGTGTTAATCGACTGTTTATGTATTAGTAAGGCTTCCTGTTAACAGTAGGGTATTAGTAGTTAAATTTTGGGAGAGGTAAAAGTTATATGCAGATGTTTGGCTGCATGGGGCAACTGGGGTGAGGGGGTGGTCAGCACCCTAAACCCCTGCATTGTTCAACGGTCAACTGTAATTATAGAGAAATACAAGAATGTACTTTTTTGGGACAAATTAATCTCAGTATTAAGTAGGAACTTATAACATTTATTATTAAAAGAAATGACAGAATACCTTCATTCTGTAATATCATGGATTCTTACAGCTTTTCAGAGAAAAATTAAATATTTCAAATCTTACAACTAACCATTTCATTTGCACTTGGGTAACAGATGTGCCATCAAAGACAATAAACATTTCCATTCTTCCTGGGGAGTTGAAATTTATTCTCATGTTATGACTTGCCTTCACTAAATGTTAGAAAATCTCAGCTTATCCTTCCCCCTGCCCCCAATAATAGCTGAATGTAAACTCTAGCTTTCTCCCTCCTCCATTCATTTTTCACATGACTGCCAGATCAAAGATTTTTGGAGTAGAGCTCCATTATGTGTCTTACTGCTTAATCAACTACAACACTGCACTCACTCTCTACCTCCTCATCCCCAGTATGCATACTGCCTCTACTTCCTCATCTCCCATTTACTCCTCAACCCACTGCAATATGCTTTTACCCCGACTAACTCCATAGAGTTTCTCTGGCAAATGTTGAGAAAGACTTCTCAATTGCCATATCTAGTTGATTCTTTTCAAACTGGATTTCAAAAAATCCATTGGTCACGTGTGGCTGGTGGCTACACTACTGGACAGCACAAATAGAGAATATTTCTGTCATCAAAGAAAATTCTATTAGACAGCACTTCTCCACAATTAAAGACATTGAAACTGTAGTTGAATCACACAGATAGGAGAAAAAAAAATGGGGACTGATAGGGAATCAGAACAGGGAGTCAGAAATACTCATGGGTCATCCTTAGGATATAATTGATACGCTTCTTAGTCAAAGTTCATGAACATAAAATTGAAGATGTTTAGCAAATTTTCTTCGAATTTTTCAGTCATTAAAACAAATTAGTAGTAGTTCTATTTTCATTAGTGTTTCTTATGGGACTAGAAATCTATGCTATCAAAATGACAAATCAAATCAAGGAGTAATTTCTTATTTTCTTAGCACACTACCAGGCACATTGCACAAGGCACTTAGGGAATAATAATCAGTAGATAAAGTTGCTCAGTTGATGACTTACTGGAAGGATCAAAGGCCCAAGACAGTATTTTTAGAATAGCTGTTCTTTTACTGACAAGAAATATCTAATCCAGGGGGTCTTTATTGCTTTCTTAAATCATGGAATGAGGAAAAATAATGTATTTTATGCTCTGAGAGCTGAAAACTGAAGTTTCTCTGACCCTGGGGAGAATATTTTATATTATTGGATTTTTTTTCAGCTGTGATATACTAACAAGATGACCAAATAGAATAAAAAGTAGTGTTTTGTACTTAATGCTCCATGAGAAATATAACAGCTATTTATTGAAATCATCTCTCAAATATATCTAAACTGATCACTTCTGTCTCTCAGAACTCCAGCTTGAAAAGTCCTCTTATTTTTATAACCTCAATTCCATAGCATATTCATTTAGCAAACTTTCCTTCATGTTGCATATTATATATAATAAATATCTACAGATGCTAGGGAAACATGTTTAAGGACCATAGGGAACTTGTTTCCTTTTAATATAAGCTTAAGTTGGATGTTACTTATTC